CTTACCTCTTGCTCTGGTGACAGCTCTAAAACTTTATTGCTCTTTACTTTCTGACTAAGTGAGAATGGTCACCAGGACACAAAGAGGGGTGAACTTCTCCAATGTGGAATCAGACATCAATATAAACTTGACAGGGGGCAAACCATTCCCCACTCAATACAAGACTTTACATGTATTTCTACTTTTGCAGCCACATTGGGATAACAAAGACTGTCTGCATCCAGGGAGCCCATATACTTATCATTGTTTACGCTAGGACTGACTTATTCCCCCCTACTGACATATCCTGTATTTCATTTGTACAGGTGTCTGTACGCAACACCTGTGGCCCCTGGGTGTTGAAAGGTGCCTGTATGTAGGTTCAGTTCACACTGCTGTGACCCCATTGTAGTGTGATTTCCAGCCCCCATTGACATGAATGAGTTTTCATTTGTCATGTGACTATGTGTTGCAAGTCACACCAGTGTGAAACGGGACTAACCATTGTGACATTTTTTATCCAGTGTGTTCATATTAAAAAATAAAAAAAGTCATGATTGCGATTGGGATGAAGGGGTGGGGAAGATGCTGTGAGATAGTTTACCTCTTAATTTTTTTTTGAAAATTTTATATACACACATACACACAACACACAGTTGTGCTCAAAGGTTTGCATACCCGGGCAGAAATTGTGAAATTTTGGCATTGATATTGAAAATATGACTGATCATGCCAAAAAAATGCTCTTTTATTGAAGGATGATGATCATATGAAGCCATTTATTATCACATAGTTGTTTGGCTCCTTTTTAAATCATAATAACAGAAATCACCCAAATGGCCATCATCAAAAGTTTACATACCCTGGAATGTTTGGCCTTGGTACAGACACACAAGGTGACACACAAGGGTTAAAATGCCAATTTGAGGTTAATGTTCCACACGTGTGGCTTTTTAAATTGCAATTAGTGTCAGTGTATAAATAGTCAATGAGTTTGTTAGCTCTTACGTGGAAGCACTGACTAGGCTAGATACTGAGCCATGGGGATCCGAAAAGAACTGTCAAAAGTCCTGCGTAACAAAGTAAAATGAACTTTATAAGGATGGAAAAGGACATAAAAAAGATGTCCAAAGCCTTGAATATGCCAATCATCATCATCCTTCAATAAAAGAGCATTTTTTGGCATGATCAGTCATATTTTCAATATCAATGCCAAAGTTCACAATTTCTGCCAGGGCATGCAAACATTTGAGCACAACTGTATGCGTGTGTGTGTGTGTATATATATATATATATATATATATATATATATATATATGAATGATAAATGCTTTGATTTTGTAATTTCACAGTTTCAAAACATGGCCTGAAAAAATACATTAAAGAAGGACAATGCGCTCCATTTATCAAAGTGAAGAACTGTCTTAGGCTGCCCTTTCTTGTACTATATCACATCAGAGGACAGTTTTGTCTAGTACAAAATTGCTCGTGTTTTACCACTTTTGACAGGACAGCTATTTATTAAACTAAACATATTTTTAAAATGAGTTTAAAATGAGGTTGTCATTAGTAGGTGATAGATATTTTCCTACATGCTATCAATTTCCTGTTCAGACTTCTATGAACGGAGAATTAGATCAGCCTGTTTTCCACCTGAAATGGATGACATCCAAAAATCAACAGTGAAGTTAAAACAAAGAAACCTATATAAATCTAAGAAATCATATAGTTATGATTGCTTAAAAAAGGCTTTTGTTGAGAAGGTTCACAAAATCAGAAGACTATGGCCCTTCAAAAGGGAACCTTGCAGTCCTAGATATATTGTGTGCATCTGATACACACAAACCCATGTGGACATATCTTGCAGTAGACCATGAACAACTTTACTTATAGGTAGCAATGGAGAACAACACCAACAACAACTCGAGTGGAACAACGTTTTGGCTGTCATTCGGTCATGTTGTTTTAATGGCTGTACGCTTCTACAACTGCCAAGTAACTTTAAAGAAATACCCATCACTGGATGATCATCCTAAATCTGTGGTTATCTTAAGCCAATGTGATTTCATGCTTCCTTCAAAGAAAATTTGCAGGCAAATATAGAAAAGATTTAGTTGAATGATCTATAAAAAACAAAAAAAAACTATCAATACATGCATTTTAAATACTCCTAGTATACCTGTCTGAAATGTATTTCTTTATTATGTTCCCACAATTACCTGCACAGCAGATATATGACAAAGCGGGAAGGTACACATAACGCTCGATGCTGCAGATCCATGTGTTCAGGCATGAGGAGTTGGAAGGGCACATGTTTAGGCAGCTTACAATAGAAGGCGATTAAGGGAAGAACCTTAGCAGCGTGATGATGGTCTTTTATAGTTTATTATGTTGGCACAACACAAGATGTTGCAAAGCTATAGTGGTAAATAGTGGTGTCACCCTTCTGGTTTCACTGTGATGGGGAAGTCTGGTTAAACAGACCTTCAAATATGTTGGCAGGTAACAGATTACATGTCTGTGTTTCAACTGTCTATTTAGCCGAATGGCTGGAGGTTTGCTTCAAGATAAGTTCCTGAATACTCACAGCTGTAATGGTTTTCTTTTGGATTTTAGGGAGACACTGGGGTTGATTTACTAAAACTGGGGATTGCAAAATATGGTGCAGCTCTGCATAGAAACCAATCAGCTTCCAGGTTTTTTTTTCCCAGCTTAATTGAACAAGCTGAAGTTAGAAGGTGACTGGCTGCCATGCACAGCTGACACAATTACAACACGTCCTGCGCTCGCTCAGGGACCCAGATCAGTAGAGGGCTGATGGATCAATAGTATAAAGAGTATAAAGATGTATGGAAGTTCATCCGAGACTGATCAAAGGCTGTGCAGCTCCAATACAAAGCTGGGGAAGCTTGATACAAACTGTAGTGAAGAACAAAAACAGAGCGTGCAAACCTTGCGCGTTACCTCAGTAAATAGTTAGTACATTTATTTATTTAGGAGATATACTCACAAGAGTAGTAATAAAACAGGCATAGAAAATCCAAAAGCGCATCCTACAATAAGGAGACATAGTATCTATGTGTAAACCCTCCCCTATGGGAGGGAACACACATCATGACACGTTGGCCCTACCCCCTATGATGTGTTCCCTCCCATAGGGGAGGGTTCACACACAGATACTGACTACATATAGGAGAGGGCCCTCTCAGTCTGACTAGCTCTGATGAAGAAAGGACCCCCCTTCGAAACCCGTCAGCATCATTCTGAGACTTTCCCCTTCAGATGTGATTCACATGTGTCTCCTTATCGTAGGATGCGCTTTTGGATTTTGTATGCCCGTTTTATTACTTCTCTTGTAAGTATATCTCCTAAATCAATAAATTTACTGTTTACTGAAAAATGTGCAAGGTTTGTGCGCTCTGTTTTTGTTCTTTACTACACCATGCACAGCTGAACCAGATTTTGCACTCTCCAGTTTTAATAAATCAATTCCACCGTCACTTTACCCATACAGGTCAAAGCGATAGTGTCTTTGCAAAGGGGCTCCCTCAGCCTACAGATGCTCACATTGCTATTGTTTCCCCACCACTCCTTCCTTTACTGCAGCTGGCGACAATAGCTGGTGCTTCAAAGTATAGGGGAGCATGTTAGTCTTTCATGGTGACAATACTATAGTCTAGAAGCAAATTGCTAGATCAAATTGCTGTCACGTGAAAGAGGTAGTACCACCACCACTCCCGTTAACTTCCAAAACCAGCCAACACTGTGGATATAATGCCAGTCGAGACACAGGAAGAAGTATCTGGGGGTCTCTGGTAAGGTGGAGGAAGGGGGCAAGTGACAGTGTTTCTTTAAAGATCTCTAACTTGGAGACACAATGATTTGGAATGTTACAAAGGGTAATAGGCAATGTAAACCCATCAACAATTTAAATCCGATATGAAAAACTTTGAATTTCCAAATATCAAGCATTGTGCGTTAATGTTAGACAGATGATAATTTCTGTAAATACTGGATTTCAGCTAAGACCTGTAGATATGTACTGAATTACTAGATATATTTGATGATCCTACTTGATAGACTGGAAGGTACGGAAGGGTTTTCTGAGCAAAATATAATCATACTACATTATAACATGTCAAAACCGTTTACATTCAATGGAGAGTAACTTCGTTGTTTGGATTGTAAAAAAATACTATAGCACAAGATCTCAGCACTGAAGGCATACTTTTATAGCTGGTGGTCCGGAATAGCTTGAAAACTGTATCAATGGGAGGCAGAATGTGAGTAGGCACAGATAGTCTGTTTAAACAAAGTATTTCTTATAGCCCTGCTAGAGATAATTTCTCAGAAATGAAAATCTCTGAAATGTGTGCTAGATTGTTGAAAATAGGGGCAGCAGTAGTTGGCACAACAGTAAACATCACTAGGGACCAGCCTGGTTCATGGACTTGAAATGTGGGACCCCTTACCAACTTCACAGCAAAAGTGTGAACAGTGTAATGATGGCTCATTCATGAAACTGTATGGAAGGAACCATGTTAGTATTACTCATGGTTGTCACCCAATCACATGCGCTTTTTTTGTTTAATTATGACAGCTGTGATCCACTTCTGGATATTCCAACATTAAAAATGAGACCTAATGTGCTACAACTATGATGATCTTTCATAGAAATAGTAAGCTTCTGTGAATTTGTTTGTGAAGCATCGGTAGAAATGGTTAAAATGATTGCTTATTATTGCTCTACAAACATAAACATAGGCATAAATATACAAGGTGATTAGCAATTTAAAGGCCAGCAATGTCCATGTAATGCATGTCAGTGAGATAGTTATACGAGAAAATATATACACATTGGCCATGATGACACAACTCATCACTGTCCCTTACAAAATGGTAAAAGACAAACCATCACCTCCTTGGGCTCCTTAGCTCCACGTGGGCAGTGCAAATCCTACAAACCAGCTTATAGTATAGGTTCCAGTGACATGACTAGGTCCTTATTACAAAATATAGGTCTACTCAAAAGACAAAAGGTCAGGATGGGGACCATCACCATCTAAAGTAGAGTTTTTGGGCCAAGAACTCCAGTCAGAATGATTGATTTCCCCTTCTATTAAGTCTTCTTGGCTGATACAGAGTTTCACCACAGCTTTTTCATGGAAATGAGAAGACTCTCTCACATTTGTGTCCATTGACTCCTTGTGAATAATGTCAGGGACAGATAGCGCAATCTCAGGAAGGACTCCATTTTGGATCTCAGTCTGCTCCAAAATGATGTCCTCTTCTCTTCCATTGGGCAGGGAATCTGGCTGACATTTCAGTGTAGGTGAATTATCCTCATCAATGGCAGTTTCAACAGGGATTTCACTGGTCACATTCAAACTGACCTCAGTACAAATGGTTGTTTTCTCTGGACTATTCAGTACAGGGTTTGGAGAAATGATCATATCTTGAGTGGTCTTCAGAGCTCGTGGGACACGTTTCTTTACCACAGGAGGTGGAGGATCAAGTCTAGGGAAACTTTCAACGAACTTTGACCTAAAAAAAACCCAAAAAAACAAAAGATTATAAATAAAGGAATCTTGGCAAGGAGTATAACTTCATACCAATAGGCTTACTTGCATAAAAGTAAAAACAAGCAGTACAATGGGTATGAAATGAGAAAATAAATGTATCAAGGAAGACAATGTACATATACTTAAAAAACTCAGCATCTGTTGCCCATACAGTTAAAATTACTACTGAACTACAAAGAAGTTGTTAAAGAAAATCGTAATTTGCACATAAAATGGTAAGCACCATGACATTCTATGATAAAAGAAAGCTGTAATATCACCAGTCAAGGAGCTCCTAACTGGCACACAAACACAAGTCAAATCATCACCCTGTGAATCTTAACATGCCCTGCTCTAGAAATATAAGTGGAGACTGTGGAAATAGTGGAAATATAAAACTGGAGACTGCAAAATCTGGTGTAGCTCTGCATAGAAACCAATCAGCTTTCAGTTTTTTTTTTGTCAAAGCCTAGCAAGCTGAAGTTAGAAGCTGATTGTCTACCATGCACAGCTGCACCAGATTTCTCACTCTCCAGTTTTAGTAACTCAACCCCATTTTTTTGGTAGACCAGTTGATCACCAACATCCTACCTTAAACGTTTACAGATTCAACAGGAAAATCAGAAGCAAGGCAAAGGCTAAAGCACAGAAAAATTCATTACAAATACAGTAGCACAAGCTGTACTAAAATTATACTAGTATTCTTGCTCATATTGAGAGGGTGTGAGACTTGACTGGTTTGCAGAGGGCCTTTGCTGGGGTGCCGATGTAGACAGTCTATCCTCCTCATTGGTGAATGATCATCTCGCATTTTACTATAGAATCCCTGGGCACCTGATTTAGGTTTTATTTATATTTAATCTGACCACACTAATATTTTTATGTTTTTAATTGCCAGGTCATTATAGATTAATACGTTAAAGCGGAATTCCACCCAAAAGTAGAAGCTCTGCTTATCTGCCTCCCCCCGCCTCCACTGCCACATTTAGCACCTTGCAATGAACTGAACCGAATGTTCGCCCCCCCCCCCCCCAACCCTCTGGGACACTTCACAGGTCCCAGAAGATTGCGACCCATTCATTAAAGCAGTACAACGCTTCACTGCCAGTTTCCCTTAGTCAAGATGCTGCCAGCACCCGATAGCCGACTGACGAATTGGCCGGAGGTGAAGTCACTGCTGGGTCCCTGGACAGATAAGTGCCGTAATATTAAAAGTCAGCAGCTAAAGTATTTGTAGCTGCTATTTCAATGTAGCTGCCCCAATGACTTTCAATTTTTTTTACCTTTTATGTGGTAAGTTAGCAGTCCAACCAATATTTAGAGTTGCTGGCATTTGTATATATTTGTGCATTTTTCAATTTTTGTCTGTGTAGTTGGAAAGAGATGTGTATTGTAAAGAGGTGAGAAACTTTTGTTAATCATTTGGCACTATCACAAGTTGAGTTGTTTTTTCAAAAGTCTGGTCGATTGTATAATACCATAACGACTTTTACCATGTCTATGGCAATCGTCGGAGAACTAATAAAGTTGTGAATCCCGACTGTCTGGAATCCCAATTAGAATTTCTACAGACTAGAGAGATAATTATTTGAATATTCAGATAAATCCAGTTTGGCATATCGGTGATTCTCTTGGTTCAGTCATCTCTACTAACATTCTGATTTTATTCTTCATTCTCATTGTTTGACAAGCACATCTGCCGCTGAAAGGCCAAGAATCAACATTCTTTATATATTTCAAACTGTTTTCAATAAACCAATTTTTAAAATGAACACATAGTATACCTTCTGGGTTTTCTTCTAGTGTTCATCGCTTACATGTACTTGACATACTATCTATACCGTCACAAGTCTTGAGGCCTTAAAGTGCACCTGTGCCCCGGATATAAGTATTAAAGTGTTCTCATAATTTTAAGCAGTAAAAGGGCTTGGAAAAAAGCCATCACTGATTTCTCTAGCTGCATGTACTGTGAAGTAATCTATTCACAAAGATCACAGAAGATGGGTTGCACTCAGTTTCCATAATCTTACAAGCACCTGCTATGTAGTTACATTAGATGGCTGGGAGGCTGCCAAAAATCAATGCTCTATAGAAAATTTCTAAGATTTCTGTGCCTCTGTTGTGAACTTTAAAGATACATTCCCCAATAATGTCTATAGCTACAGAGCTGAATGAGAGCGTGATTAAAGTGCTTGTTCAGAATATGTAAAAACTTTAGTGTACATGGTCTGGGCAGAGGTTCACTAGGTTGAACCATCCAAAGTTGGCGCATCCAAGCAATTATCTACTTAGAAACCCCAACACTTCAAGCAAAGCATCTATTTATGGAACAGTTCTATCTAAAATGATCACTGAAGCCCATAACAGAATTTACTTTCAGGCTGCTGCTAAATTTTGTTTTTTTTTTCCATTTGGTATCTAGAACTGATCAACAGAGTGAATATTTACTGAAAAGCTGTTGCCTTATAGCATCTATTCCTATTTATGCTTTTATCCTAGATTGTAAGCTCGAATGAGCAGGGCCCTCGAACCCCTCGTGTATCACATTGTATTGTTATCGTACTGTCGCATGTTCTGTCTCCCATTGTAATGTACAGCGCTGAGCGAACTGTTGGCGCTTTATAAATACTGTATAATAATAATATCCTCAAATTGTCTTTTTTTAATGAAGCTGGACAACAGCTTTGGCAAAACTTGGCAAAGCCTTGAATGGTAGTAATTCATGCACTGTTTTCTAATTACCAAAGATAGGGCTTGAATGCACAGGCATTTGCTTCTGAACTACTTTTGCCTCCGTACAAGTCAAAGTGTAGGAAAACACAACTCAAAGCATCTCAAAGTCAAAAGCAAGCACATTTCTCCCAAAAGCATACTGTTTTAAATCTAAAGCCTGTGTGTCTGTGGGCAACTTAAAGCAAAGTTTAATTTTGTGATCCCTCCAAGATAATTTGCTCCCAGTATTTCAATAAAATATTTCCTTCATAGTTACACCATCTAAATGTGGTGCCACACATCAACCAAAGTTGTGTACCCCCATGGAACAAATCATTTGAAAATCAACAAACGTCTCAGTAAAGACATAACCAATATAAGCAAAAGCATACATGTAAGACAGCCCTCAAAGACTCACATTTCTTCATCTCCGAGGCTCACTGTCTTCTCCTTATTGGACAACACAGATGCTACAGTCTTGTTGACTTCAGTGAGACCAATGTCATTGCGGTCAGTGTCTCTTCTACGTAGGAAGTCATTCACCTTGGCTCCAACTACCTTTCCAAGGTTCTTCAAGTGCTGGGTGCTTCCTGCTAGGATGCCAACCCCTGGCAGGTCAATGTTACTCTGTGCTGGTTTTGTCAGCTGACTGAGTGAAGAGCTAGGTTGAAGCTTTGGCATGTGGGCTGCATTTGAGTTCTGGAACATGCTTTGGTCAACTGTGGAAAAAATATATGAGCAATGTCATTATGGTAAACAAAATTGTACTTGAATGAGCAAAAAGCAAACAACACTTATGAGTTATGAAATTTAAAACAAAAAAGGGACTGTACAGCTTATTGCAGCCAACCTGATACCCTTCCTAATCTACTCAGTGCAAGGGAAACAATTGGGCTCAGACAGGTTGCTATTGGCAATACACAATTTCTTGACATCTTCCTATAAACCCGCCACCACCCAAGGGCCTTTTTGTGTTTTGTCATTAGCATGATTTGTTTTACAGTTGGTTAAGAAATAGAAAACTAGATGCCAACAAAGTATGGAGAAAAAAGTTATGTTCTCTCAGATGACTGTAAGTCCTCTCCAGTACCTTTTAATACAAGCACTGTTTTTAAGTACAACTATGATCATTTAAGGAATATTATTTTATACATTGTTTAAGGATATGAAAAAGAAGTTCTTAAGAACTGATCCATTTCTGTTATATTTTATAGCACTATAAAAAAGAAAGCGATTGGCTAGGTTAGAAAATTATGGAATATTTAAGAGATTCTGGTATGTGTGAATGAATAGACTCCCAAAAGCAATCAAAAATGCAATTCTATGTGTTTCATATAACTGTCAAGTGAGGAATATGTGGTTTTAGCAGCGACAGAGAGGAATTGTTTTGTCTTAGGACAATGAAAGGGAAACAAACTACAGCATATGCACATGTACATCCACAAAACACACAAAGTTGATGCATTTAGTAAAAGATAATGAACAGTGTACACACAAATTAAATACCAAAAGCTGCCCACTCATACCCTGTCCACCCCCTTTTATATGAAAAAGACCTTTTGGCATTCTAAGCTGTCAAATATATAAAACTGCAATTTGGGTATGGCATTTTTTACACAGTTACATAGTCCAGCTTGGACCAATTGTGCCATACCTGTGGGATCCCCATGAAAGCTAGAAATCACTGTAGCAGGTACAGCTAATTAAGTGGTCTCCACAAGCTTCCCAGTCCCATGCCGAGTGGTGCCTTTCGTAGAACACTTTGCACGTTCTCAATGAATATGAAGTGTTCTCAGTTGGATGAGATAGAAATTGGAAGAAGTGGGGTGGTGCCGTCAAATCAGTGATCTCTGGCATTTCAGTGAACTCTTTAAATTCATGGTGAACATGCAAAGTGTAGTAGAGATCACTGTAGTAGCAGTGCCTACGACAGTGATTTCCAGCTCCTACAGGGATCCCACAGGTATGGCACATTCATACTTACATTGGCCCAAGCGAATGAAAATAATTATGTAAAAATTGCTATACCTAAACTTCAGCATTGAATTAAGCAGCTTCCTAAAAGAAAAAAAAAAAAACATTATCTTGAAATCCACAACACATCACAGTTTGCAGACATCTGAACCTGCGTTCAGCATAGGAACAATACTATGCAGATATGTAGCATGCAGATCTCAGACTCAAGAAAAGATGAGACAGTCACAATAGTTTGTGAAAAGCAGATGATATATGAAAGACATTTGAACTATACATGACGCTCATCACAACTTCTTAAGACCACCAGGGGAGACATAAACGTCTTACCTTTAATGAAAACTCGGACAGCACATTTTAGAAGGAAACATAAAAGGCAATTGAAACCCTTTGCTTTATTGTGCATTGGTTTAACAAATACAAACGTCAGGGCTATGAGTGTACACCGTACACAGCTATTAATAAAATATTATCTGGAATGCTTAAAACTAAAGATCACCTACATAAAGGAGTCACTTGCCAAAGACCTAATATATATAGCTAGATAATAATACCTGTATTGCTTGTGCTCTTTTTAAAATTTTAAAAATTGAACGCTCTACAAAATTATTAAAGTGTTACTAAACCCACAAGTTAGTCTGTATATGCAGTAAAATATGCTTCTTATACTCACTGTGGAACCTAAGGGGTTAATCCTCTGCATTGTGTAAAAAGGCCTGTCTTCTCTGATCATCATTTTGCTGTCTCCAATCAGTCTAGCATAGTTAGAGCAGCAGTGGCAAGTCTGCACATGCTCTGTTTGGTGTGTATTGCTAGAGAGGTTTTTTTTTTTTTGGGAGGGTGCATGTGTTTGGCACAGGACCAATCAGCATTGTCCAGACAGATAGTCAGGGGATATGCAGCCTCAAAACCAGTCAGTGAGAAGAATGAAAACTCCTCCTATAAGATTAACCAGTGATCCGCTGGACACGATTAACAAGTGATCGGCTGGACATGATAGAAGTCACAAGACTGCTATATGCTGTTGATAAGAAAAGGTATTTAGCAGTTTATATTTACTAAAAAAATTGCATTTTCATGTTCTGTATACTGTGGGAGACCAGATATAGTGAATGTGAGTCCTGGGTTTAGTAACACTTTAAATGGACAGTGGTCCTCAACATTGCTGCATGTGTACAGATCTACCACCCAGACCCGTTATGACCCAGTCAGGGACAAAAAAGGCCTGCTACTTAAATGCCATTGTTAAAGGTAACATCAAACAGTGAACCACTGGAGGGACAGTTGGCACTCGAACGTGTCTCTATCCGTCAGGCCTTACTCAATCTCAGCCATGATTAAGGCCTGATGGCCGAAAAGCATTGGCTGAGTACTGGGTAGAGCTGAGGATTGAAGGAAGGTAGCAGCACCACGACATCTGTTTCCAACATCAAAAATGTGCTTATTATAGGCAATACTGACTTTTTTTTGTTCTATTTTTGCATATGTATTTAGAAAACTTGGAAAAATACAGTATATAACATTTGTGAGCATATAAATTGCCAGCTTAGAATTCAATACAGTGAAGATGGTGCTTACTACTATTTTTAAGCCATCCAGGACTCACTTATAATAATATTAAAAGCAAAAACGATTATTAAAAAATGGTGAAAACTATTTTGAAACAGATTAATAATGTCAAGTCTATGAGGCCAAGTAGATGCCTGGAGAGTGAAGACCAACCATTCCAAGGGGGCACATTGATGGGACAGGTCCTAATGGTTACTTCTCCTATCCTTTAGGTAGGCAGCACCCTGTTCACCCCCATGAATCTCAAGATTCACAGGAACGCTCAACCAAGCTAACAGCCCATAATTACCATCATACTTACATGTCAGAGCATCCTTCTTATGTCTATGAGCACCTAGGGGCTAGTGAATATAGGCATTTGTATTTTGCTTTTGCAGTGCATTAGGGAAGCTTTTTGAAGAATATCAACCGCAATGTTTAAATGTTTGACTTTATGAGCTGTGTTAGTGTCAAACAGGAAATCCAAAAGTGTCCACAGGTGCGGTGTTAAGGGGTGTATAGATTGTTAACTCATTATTGATGCTTTTGCCATTCATTGCCTCCTTTTTTTTTATTCTCTCTTACAAAACGGCATAAATGCCACTCAAATGGCATCCCAAAATAATCTTGGGCTGGTATCAAATGCAAGTCATTATCCTTAGAATCATGGAACATCTGTCTTCCGAGTTTGAGTCTCATGTGCATTAACCTTTAATTACTGCCTAATCTGCCAAATTTTTGAACTGTGAGTGGCCCTTTAAGAACCACCCAGCTCTGCAAAAGTTGGTATAACCTCTTGCCAACCAAGTAACGATTATGCCCGACAGCAAGGAGGGTGGGCACGTATGCATCCTTGAGGACTGAGGTCTTTTTGCTGGAAGCATGCTCACTGTGAGCTCCCAGTACAGTGATCGAGCTGTCATAGATGGCTTGCAGTCTCTATTTATGATCAGGAACCATTAGGACAGGTCCTTTTGCTGGAAGCATGCTCACTAGGAGCTCCCAGTAGAGTGAACAAGCTGTCATAGATGGCTTGCAGTCTCTATTTATGATCAGGAACCATTAGGACGGTCTTTTTGCTGGAAGCATGCTCACTGTGAGCTCCCAGTAGAGTGATCGAGCTGTCATAGATGGCTTGCAGTCTCTATTTATGATCAGGAACCATTAGGACGGTCTTTTTGCTGGAAGCATGCTCACTGTGAGCTCCCAGTAGAGTGATCAAGCTGTCATAGATGGCTTGCAGTCTCTATTTATGATCAGGAACCATTAGGACAGGTCCTTTTTCTGGAAGCATGCTCACTGTGAGCTCCCAGTAGAGTGATCGAGCTGTCATAGATGGCTTGCAGTCTCTATTTATAATCAGGAACCAGCAGGACAGGTCTTTGTGCTGGAAGCATGCTCACTGTGAGCTCCCCATAGAGTGATTGAGCTGTCATAGATGGCTTGCAGTCTCTATTTATGATCAGGAACCATCAAAATTGGCTTCCAAACATGTGACAATTGTGACTGTCAATAATACTGATCAAGTGACTGGGAAGTCAGTCCTGCCTCCCAGCATTAAAACCCACCTAAAAGGCCACCGGGAAGGTTGGAAAGTGGCTAAAAAATCAACTGATCATTGATCAGCCAAACAGTGACTGCATCCTATTAGATGCAGTCACAGTTCGGTATTCATGCAGTCGCAGCTACTGGAATACAATAGCCACGGGTAAACATTTCTCCTTCCGTGATGTCTCGCACGGTTAGAAATTAATTGATTCTTTTGCTCAGCCCACAGGCTGAATGCGAAACAAGCAGCATTTTAATATTCCAAGCAAAACAACTGCACTAGGATACAAACAGGTCCTCAACTTCATGCTATTAGTACTATGGGCTGCATTATCAGAAATATACCATATGCTCATATGTTCATATTCTACAGATTGTTTGAGGCAAATTTTGCAATTATGCTGTTTATAAAAACATTATACAATTACTGCATGTGATTTTCACACTCCTTTAAAACAGATACAGTTAGCAGTTAGTGTAGTTAGTTTTCCTATTCAACAGAGGTAGAGAGTCGGTTAGCAGTAAGTGGATTCAAATGTTGAAATGCTTAGGGCAAACGTAGATCTATACTCCCCCCCCCCCCAAAACAAATGTGTATATATATATATATA